GATGATGATGATGATGATGATGGTGATGGTGGCAGCAGCCATTATGATCCCATCACATCTCCTCCACACTGCCGGGCTTTTATTAACGGAGTCGGAGCTGCTCCTGCGGGGAAGACGACAGACCAACACAGCTCAGAACTCACCTGAGAAATCACCACGCTTCATATTTTCTGTACATCGGTGGGAGAAGCACAAACAGAGACTGATTAAAAACAGACTTGATTAAACTTTCAGTGAACACACTCTGTCTGTGGACCGTCCCTGCAGACAGCCGGTCGGTCTCCAGGTGATTCTGACCTTCGTTTCTGCTGTTGTTTGTGTCTTTACATCAGGAGACCCAGCAGCGCCGGAGGCCCCCCGGAGCCCACAGGGGCCCCTGATGATCAACAGGAGCCTGCTTCAGACCAAAGTCCAGCTCCTGAGAGAGTGAGTCTTGGCTTTAACCTTTTTATTCATTAGCATGCAGCCGTCTATAATGCTTCCTGTAGTGGACATCAGCTCAGTTCTGCACAACTCAGAATGACACAATGTCGTCTTCTTCAAAGTAGTTTTTGTGGTTTTCCAGTGAGTCCGTCCTGCACTGTTCTGTCTAAATGACACAAAACAATGACTTTATTTCAACTTGTGGACGTCCTGGAACTCTGCAAACAGAGAAAACAGCTGCACGACCAACAACCAAATAAAGTCAGAACAAGTTTTTACTTTATCAAAGAGTTATGGGATGAACACGAGGCAGGTCATTTTAAAGCAGACTGCAGCCTGAAGGCAAAGCATTCGATCTGCAGCTCGACTTGTTCACCGTCGTTCATCCAGATGCTGCAAACAGCTGCTCAGCCGGAGCAGACGGCTGCCGGAGCAGAGCGGATGAATGTTGAACGGCGGTTACTGTTACAGTTATTTTAATGGTTTTATCTTCAGTCTACATTTTTTTCTTTTAACCGTCTTTCTGATGTTATCAAAGAAGAGACGATGATTAGTGTCACATTTCATTACTTCCTCATTAAAAGCTCATTAAGAAGGACAGGAAACATCAGAAACTCTAACGATCTGAGCCATCAGTCATGTAGACAGCTCAGCTATTAACCTGCAGCGTTCTCTAAAGATAACCCACATGTGCCGCCATGCACCGTGTTGTAGCATCAGGAGTTGTTGTTTGCAGCTTCTCAGGTGTGAACTCGCTGACGGTAAGGTGAGGAGATTTTCACAGATTGTGTTTTTTTGAAACCAACACGACGGATTCAGTCGCAGGAATCACGTGTTGGTGATTCTCAGATGTTTTT